CAGGTATCTGTTCAGGTATTTCTTCTAAATCTTCACAAGAAGTTCTGACTGTCAGTACTTCATCATCTTCGGTGCACATCTTACTACTGACAAGCCTACCACGATTTCTTATTGAACGCACTAGCGATGGATTTTTGTTCTGGTTGGTCCTGAAAGGCATCAAATCCAAAATGTAGTGTATCAATTGGTCCCAGCACTTCTGTCACCGTTGACCATTATTTGTGCAGAGATCACCGAACCCGACACCAATAAGTGTCACATTGGCGCCCAACGTGCGGCTTCTCGAAAAGATTGTGAAATCTGTGCCGGTATTCTGGTTCTCAAAAACGCTCACCGACTACATTGAAAGTGCCGAGCGACTGAAAAGCGGTGAGCGTTTTCGAGAACAAGAATACCGACCCTGGTATTTCCCAAAAACAATGGTAGGGTAGCTAAGGCGATTTCGTAGGTGTGGAGGGAGTCACCATCTTTACAATGACATAAGGACCATCTCTTCTTGGTGCAAATTTGGATATATAGGCTTGTTTAGTGCCACTCAATGTGTGGATCTCTACGCGTTATTTATTTGCAAATGTTTATTTAAATCATGCAACGTGACGCGCCGTTGCCAACAAGAAACATCTGAAATTCCCCTACTTTAAATGCATCAAGAAGTACTTTTACTTTTGTTAGGTTTGAGGCAGAAATTTACTAATTATGACGTCATCCTAAATATAGCGTAAAAATCCTATACCAAAATCTTATCTTATATTCGGGAGTCTTTCATAGATATCTATCTACATATATCTTTGAATGGTCTTGTTGGGCTTCCTGCAGCGTTCACACCCAAATTTTGGAGATAGGGTGTAATTTGGCAGAATTTACATAATCATGATGAAACACTTTAAAATGATTAAATCGAACCACAGTCTCAATTCAATGTTTGGGGGTCACAGTCTTTTGAAGAGGCCCCACGTTGGGCGCCAATGTGACACTGGGTAATGTCGAAATCGGTGATCTCTGCACAAACGATGCTCGTCGGTGACAGAAATGTTGGATTCCACTCTTCTATTTCTGAACTAGCAGGCCGTTGTGGCATTTGGGCATGAACTTATCTTAAAAATCTATGGAAAAACTGTTCTAGAACACTTTCAAATTGAAAATTCAGCACAAGAAAAATAATCCGCTTTCCTGTTTTTGATTTAATAAGCTGTTGTATGGACACAAGACACGTATGATTTTAATTCATGATATCGGATCACATGCAAAACTGGATTGGCTCACAGGCAAAATTTACATAATCATGATGAAACACTTTAAAATGAATAAATCGAACCGATTGAACAAAACACAGTCTCAATTTAATGTCTGGGGGTCACAGTCTTTTGAAGAGGCCCCACGTTGGGCGCCAATGTGACACTGGGTAGTGTCGGGCTCGGTGATCTCTGCACAAATGATGCTCCACGGTGACAGAAATGTTGGATTTCACTCTTCTATTTCTGAAATAGCAGGCCGTTGTGGCACTTGGACATGATCTTATCATAAAAATGTATGGAAAAACTGTTCTAGAACACTTTCAAATTGAAGATTCAGCACAAAGAAAAGAATCCGCTTTCCTGTTTTTGATTAAACGAGCTGTTGTATGGACACAGGACACATATGATTTTAATTCAGAATATCGGATCACATGCAAAACTGTATTGGCTCACAGGCAAAACTTACATAATCATGAAGAAACACTTCAAAATGATTAAATCGAACTGACTGAACAAAACACAGTGTCAATTTAATGTCTGCGGGTCACGGTCTTTTCGAGAGGCCCCACGTTGGGCGCCAATGTGACACTGGGTAGTGTCGGGCTCAGTGATCTCTGCACAAACAATGCTCGATGGTGACAGAATTGTTGGATTTCACTCTTCTATTTCTGAACTAGCAGGCCGTTGTGGCACTTGGCCATGATCTTATGTTCACAATCTACGGGAAAACTATTTTTGAACACTCTCAAATTGAAGATTCAGCACCAAGAAAAGAATCCACTTTCCTGTTTTTGATTTAACAAGCTGTTGTATGGACACAAGACACGTATGATTTCAATTCATGATATCGGATCACATGCAAAACTGAATTGGCTCATAGGCAAAACTTGCACACTCATGAAGAAACACTTTAAAATGATTAAATCGACTGTGATCCCCAATGTTTGGGGATCACAGTCTTTTCGAGAGGCTCCACGTTGGGCGCCAATGTGACACTAGGTAGTGTCGGGCTCGGTGATCTCTGCACAAACGATGCTCGATGGTGACAGAAGTGTTGGATTCCACTCTTCTATTTCTGAACTAGCAGGCCGTTGTGGCGTTTGGACATGATCCTATGTTCAAAATCTACGGGAAAACTGTTCTAGAACACTTTCAAATTGAAGATTCAGCACAAAAAAAAAAAGAATCCGCTCTCCTATTTTTGATTTAACAGGCTGTTATATGGACACAGGACACGTATGATTTTAATTCATGATATCGGATCATATGCAAAACTGAATTGGCCAGCGATGTTACAGAGGGTACAATTGTACCAAAAGGAGTACATTGAAGACTTTAAGAGTACAGTTGTACAATCAGATGAAAAAATGTACAATCTATATTCGTCCAAGAATTATTAACTATTCCTTTATTAACAAATTTCTCATTCAAAAAAATATAAAACTTATATTTTTAAACGTACCAGCTTCATAATAGTAAAGTTAATAGAGTGCTATATTTTCAGCACTCCAGAGTTACTCCGAAGTACTTCGTCCGCCCTTTGGTCCGTTCGTCTGGGAAGATTTCGCGCTCCGGAGCTGTTCTTATTTTCCTCGTCTCCGTCCCCTAAAGCACCTACCGTAACCGCTTTCAGGTACAGAGTGCGAAGCTCCTAGAACACTTCACACCCGTTATACTCAGAGATATGTGAGGGAAATAGAATGCGCTTAGACGACTGCGCATCCGATTTTATGGTAACGCATAGGGTGCCGCTATATTTATCACTTTTCACTTATGCCGTTTCCGATTAGTAGATCTAGGGCAGTTTTTTTTATTTCTGTATTTTTCTTCTACAGGTTGATGAAAAAGGGTGAGAATACACTCAGTGCGCATCAAATCTACCAATCGGAAACGCCATTAGTCTTTACGTTGACAACTTTAATCTGACAAATTTTTCACAACATAACCTTACTTTTGGTCGGTTACAAATTGTTGTTTTTGGCGATATTTTTATCAGAACAACGTTTTAAAAGATTTCTTTTTGTTATTTCTGCTTATTTTTTGAGTTATGAGTTGTTCATGACCTATTTTTCCAACACCTAATTTGACAAGTGATAAAAATAGCGGTCCTTCAAATTGGGCCTGCTGCGCAGGATGGACTCTTATTCTATTCTGACCAACAACTCTCCCATATCTCTGGTTATACTCCATGCGTTTTGCACTCAAACGCTTGAAACCGTATTGCCTGGAGCGTGGTAGGTGCTTCAGGGGTAAAAGGCGAGGAAATGAAAGTAGCTCGAGAGCGCCAATTTCTGTTCATCCGAACGGCCCAAGCTGTAGCCGGAGTAGCTCGGGAGCACTCAGAGGGTGCTATTTATTGATTTTACACTCCAAGAAAATTGTTACCTTTGGGCAAGTTTTTAAAATCATCAATGACATATGCGCATTTTCACCGATGTATTGCTGTCCTTGTCATTTTACAGCAGCAAAACAAGGATGGGTTACTCATCAAAATAAACGCGCATAAGCAAATGGTGAATTTAAAAACTTGGCTTTTCGAAAATTGATAATTACCACTAAATTTATAATTATAAATTTAGTACCGAGCCCATCGGCCATCTCCGTTAACATTAAAATAATAAAAATACAAGCAAAAAAATAGAGTTCGTTTCACGATGGTTTATACTTTTGACACCGAAGACGTCATAGCAGCGGCCATTCGTTTCAGTCAATTTCTATTTGTTAAAAAAGGAAGGCAAATTATGTCAAAAGTAAAAACCCTCGTGAAACAAAGGGTATATAGGATTCGAAACCTAAAAAATGTACAATTTGGTCGAAAATAGTACAATTATGATATTAGAAAAAGTACAATTGAAATTTTTCTTGTAACAACGCTGGAATTGGCTCACAGGCAAAACTTACATAATCATGAAGAAATACTTTAAAATGATTAAATCGAACCGATTGAACAAGATACAGTCTCAATTTAATGTCTGGGGGTCACAGTCTTTTGAAGAGGCCCCACGTTGGGCTCCAATGTGACACTAGGTAGTGTCGGGCTCGGTGATCTGGGCATAAACGATGCTCCACGGTGACAGAAGTGTTGGATTTCACTCTTCTATTTCTAAACTAGCAGGCCGTTGTGGCACTTGGGCATGAACTTATCTTAAAAATCTATGGAAAAACTGTTCTAGAACACTTTCAAATTGAAGATTCAGCACAAGAAAAAGAATCCGCTTTCCTGTTTTTGATTCAACAAGCTGTTGTATGGTCACAGGACACATACGATTTTAATTCATGATATCGGATCACATGCAAAACTGTATTGGCTCACAGGCAAAACTTACATAATCATGAAGAAAAAGTTTAAATGATTAAATCGAACCGATTGAAGAAAACACATGGTCGATTTAATGTCTGGGGGTCACAGTCTTTTCGAGAGGCCCCACGTTGGGCGCCAATGTGACACTGGATAATGTCGGGTTCTGTAATCTCTGCACAAACGATGGTCGTTGGTGACAGAAGTGCTGGATTTACAAAAGCCTTGGGACCAATTAATACACTACACTTGAAACTTATTGATCAAAATTTGAGCATAACAACAAAATTATTCAAATTCTAATCACCCCACAACTTGAAATTGCCATTACTTTTAAATCATTTTGACAATAGTATAGTAAATTAGGCGCTTTCTTTAATCACCCCAACATAATAGGGTATTTCAAAATCATGTTACGTTACAAACTTTAATAACACCAGCATAATTATTATTCATTTTTCCAGATTTCACAATGGTCCAACAAAACTGAGCGAAGCCTTGCGCAATAGTTTATCGAAAGACCCCATAGCGCCGATCCTATGGGAACCCCATCTCAAGGCGCTTGACCGCAGGGTGGAAATTATCCTGAAAGGTATCAGGGATTGTCTGCAAAAAGCCGAAGACCCCGACAGTAACAAGATCGACGAATCCTCGTGATTGGATAATTTTTTCGTCGAAACATGACAATATTTTTTTTAGATTTTAGCGTCCAAATATTAATTTTTAGACGGTATTTTTGCTCAAGAAACAATGGATATTATACAAAAATGCCCCAGCATAGTTCCATATTATATTGTGTATAACTTCATTTTAACTAAACTAAGCCAAAAAATATTTTTACCATGTAAAATGTAAATAAATTGTGTAAAGGGTAGAGCACAAATTTAAGGGATGTAAATACAATACAATAATAATAATGTGATGGGTGTAGCATTTTTAATACTGTAACAAAATATAATGAATTTATCTAAGGCTTGGTTTTGGGATTTATAAAACCGGGCCTTAGAAGTGTATAGACTCAATTGAAGGAAACAAAAACCAAAGTTGACTGTTGCAATGTGATCTATCAAATAATAATAAACTATTACTTAAACATGATGAGGAGTTTTTTTTATTATTAAGGGCCCTTGGTATAAGTACATAATTTTTGGGAAAATTGCAAGAAAAGACTAGAAACACATACAACTAATATTTTATTATCAACTATCTATATAAAATTCGTCTATAAAGGAAAAAGCAACGCCATTGGTCCAGCCAAAACCAGCTTGTACCGTGTACTCGCCACCGCCGCCGAATCTTCCCGGTACTACCGCATCGTACTTTTCAAACATTATCGAGTTCTCTTCGTAGCCTAACATGTTAGCTGAAATCCACCTAGAAAAAAATGTTACTCAACTATGCCATTTTGGTACCAGTTTATTTACCTGTCAGCTAAAGTACTTGCAAGTTCCGTAGCATTACTATTGCCAGTTTTCGATAGTCCTAATACCACAATTTCTTGTAGAGGAGGCCAAGCGTTGGTCAAATCCCACTGTTCTCCGCTCTGCAACAGAGAAGTAGGAATTCCGCCCAGGTACTGGTCAACTCCTTGTTTTACGAAGTAAGCTGCAGCCCTTCTACCATACACCTCCTTTTTGCTTAAATCGTAAACCTCAGCCCAAAGAGGTGCATAGTTGCTTGGAAAAAAGTACTTCCTAGCTTTTTGCAGCTGCGAATCATAATCAAACCAAATGCCTTCTTCTTCGTCATACAAAACCATTTGAATTGATTTTTTCCATATATCCGAGCGCTCTTGCCAGTAGTCGCTTTTCTCCTTATTGCCTAAAGTTTCATAGAAATCAGCTAAATCAGCAAAAGCTCTACATAAAAATGCGTTGAGGTCCACAGGTATCACACGTTGAGCTTGAATGTGAGTTAAATTAGTATCGACGCCACCGTTATCATCAAAAAACCACCTGGAGGAAAAGTCCCAGCCAGTTTCGGCACCACTTTTTAATGACTGATAGCATAAACTCTGAGCTGCTTTGTCAGCGTAGCTACTGCAAGTTCTAACATCTTCTGCGTAAGCCTCAGGTCTGGGAGTGTTACTGGAAGATTGATAATGAGCCAACATATGAGTAACTCCATCTTTTTCAACAGGAATAGTTCGGTTATCAGACCAAAAATTCATTTCTGTTTCTACACATTGAATGATGTTTCCGATGAAATTAGTATCAATGGTGGATTTGAGGTAACTTTGGATCATTAGAGTGAATAGAGGCGGCTGAGATCGGTTGAGGAAGTAGACGCGCGTCCCGTTAGGCATGAAACCGTATTTGGTGATCAGGTGGCAGATATTTTCCAGCATTCCTTTGACTGTGTCGTACATTTCGCATTGGAGGAGGCCTTTGATTACCCAGTACGAGTCCCAGTAGTATAAATCTCTAAAAATAATTTTCAGTGAGTATTAATGGAGTGATGGGAAATAATTTTCTTTATGGAACATGTGCATTCCATATTACACTACATTTTGCAAAGGATTTTTGTTTGAAATTTTTAATACAAATAATTCAAAATATTTATGTATGCATTTCATTATTAAGTATATAGGTTTTTTGAAAATTTTCACTTGGAAAGGATTCTGCAAATTTCTCAGTTATCTGGCTGCTATCCTAAAAGTCTGGATTTCTCAAAAACTACAAACTAGAAAAACATTTCTAATGTCGAAACTAAAGTTTTGAGGACTAAAACATTCACATGGTCTTTTAATTTCTCAATTCTGGCTGTTATTTTAAAAATCTGAATTTCTCAATCTTAGTTAGACATTTAAATTTGCAGGGTAGAAAGGGTCAAAAATAAAGGGTTGGTAGTATAAAAAAATTAGGTAGGTATTTAAAAACGGTCCTTCAACTTCTTAATTTCGGTTCTTCTCTTAGAAGTTTTGATTTCTCAAAAACAGCACACCCTAGTAAACACAGCTACATATATTATTTAAAGTAGTTAAACTACTTTAACTAATTATGTTATTCTAGGGTTTGCTCAAGTAGATGTAAAATTTATATCACATTGATGTTTATGTAACAAAGTTTTGCATTTTCGGCCCTAAAAAATTTTGATCATCCGACAGTGCCTCACAAAATCCTTCATAAATCAATTACTATTCTACAAATTCTGATACAAGTTTATGTATTCTTATTCAGAATTAAATGTTCTTCCAGATACAATAAAATTAAATAATTTATCTCAAATAGTGTTCAAGATATTGAGTCTCAAAATTGAAACTTTGTCTCAAATTTTAGAAAACCTTCAAAGCCGAATATCTTGAAAATGAAGTCCTAGGGCTCGGTGCCCCAAATAACCTTTTTTAAAGCCCGAATCGAGATCTACGATTGGACGAAATTTCATGCTGATAGCTTTTCTGGTTTCCAAAATATGGCATTTTAGAATTTTTGAAAATGAAATTTCCTTGCATAGGTACCCCTTTAAAAAATGTCAATTTTGATTTTTCCAGATTTTTCAGTTTTTGACTTGATCAATCGAAAGAAGGGGTCAAATTTAGTAGAAAAGCATTCTAGTGATTTCTCTTTTTGAGGTTTTAGGACCTGTAAAAAATTAAAGAAGATTTTTTCAATTTTTTGTCCTGAAAAATTTTGATCATCCAACATTGCCTCACAAAATCGCCCATAACGTAACTAATATGCTACAAATTTATATATTTGAGATATAAGATATATAAGATTGAATCATTTATTTCGGATAGTTTTCGAGATATTGAGCCTCAAAGTCGAAACTTTGTCGCAAATTTTGGAAAACCTTCAAAACTGAATGTGTCTTAAAAACGAAGCTCTAGGGCTCGGCAGTAGCGGGGCAGGGGGGGGGGGCGCAACTGCCCCCCCCCCTCTTTAAAATAAAATAATAAAATTTAAAAAAAAAGAAAATAAAACCATATTTTAAGTTTTAAGAATGTTTAGAAAGCTATATTTGGTTCTAAAAATTTTAAAAATGCTCACAGAGAAACCAAGTAGGTACCTCAAATTTTACCTGCAGTTTTCACCTGTACAGGTAGAATGGTTCACAAAATCAGTAGTAGGATGGTATTTTTACAATTTTTGGAGCCAAATATATGAGAGATTGCTCAATCAAATATAGATCGGGACATTGTGCTCTTCAAGAATATAGAATGAAATATAAGGCATCCCATTTGAAAAAAGTTAGAAACATGCAAAATTTCACATTTCTGACATTCAAATTTTGTTTCTGACCATGGTTTCTAAAAATTCAGCCAAAACTTTACAACTTTTTTATTTACATCTTTCTTCTACCTGTGAAGGTGAAGGCTGTAGGTGGGGCTATCAATATATAAAAAAAAAACACCTTGTACAAATAAGTGGATTATTGCGGAACTTATGGGTGGACCTCTGCGGGACGAGCGCAGCGAGTTCCGCAGCCATCTACTTACCAATATACTGTTGAAATGTTCAAATAAGACACTCACCTGAAACGTGTAGCTTTTGAACTAATGAGAAAAATTCACAACTGAGTGAATCAGGTTAGTATTGTACTTGAACAACATATTGATGAATAGATGGCTGCCAAACTTGCTGTGCTCGTCCCGCAGAGGTCCACCCATAAGTTTCGCAACAATCCACTCGTTTGTACTTGAATAACTTTCACAATATATTATTAGTTTGGGAAAGTAACATTACTAATTCCTGAAAAGGCAAATTGACAAAAAGTGGATAATCTTACAAATTTTTTATATAATATATAAGTTATTTTTCAAGTACAAATAAGTGGATTGTTGCGGAACTTAAGCGTGGACCTCTGCGGGACGTACGCAGTAAGTTCCGTAGCCATCTAATTACCAATATATTGTTGAACTGTTCAAATAAGACATTCACCTGAAACGTGTAGTTTTTAAACTAATGAGAATAACGCACATTTGAGTGAGTCAGTTTAGTATCGTAATTAAACAACATATTGATGAATAGATGGCTGCGAAACGAGCGCAGCGAGTTTCGCAGAGGTACACCTATAAGTTCCGCAGCAAATATTTGTACTTGAATAACTTGTCACATTATTTTACCCGTTTGGTAAAGTAACATTACTAATTCCTGTTGAAAGACAAATTGACAAAAAGTGAATAATTATAATCTTACAAATTTTGACTTAATATAATAAGTTATTGTTCAAGTACAAATAAGTGGATTATTGCGGAATTTAGTTAGTCGCTACGCTCGTCCCGCAGCCATCTACTCACCAATATAGGGGAGAAGTATGTAGCTTGGGACATTTTATTGAAAAGGCTTGTATTTGGGCAATCATTTATTTTGAGAAATTTGTTTTCACATAGTTTCTTATTTTAACATAGGGTCTAACACATACTTATAAACTAAACATCAAATTTCATAACAAAATAGGAAAAATCAACATTTTAAAAAACATATTTTTTGTCCCAAGATACGCACTCCTTTGGGTACCTACCTTGGGTACCTCGGGACATCAAATTATTCAATATTATAAACAGAGAAATTCACCGAAAAACGCATTTGATGGCTCCTCTTTTCAGTTCCTCCTGCTACTGGAGGAAGTGGCAGAATCATAACAACTTCGGATGTCGAATTTTCATAAAATTTTTCATCGTGAAATATGAACTTGCCTCCAACTAACTTTTTCAAATATCTTACCACCAAAACGTCATCGGGTAACATTTCAATTACTTTTGCTACATAAAACATTATTGACTTCTTGCTCATCAGTTTGACCAGGACAAAGCCGTCTACTTTTATTTTACCGTTAGACAGTTCATCTTCACTTTCAGGTTTGTTTCATTCAATATCTTCTAAGCTATCACGTGAAGAAATTGACTGATTTTCCTTATCCGAACTGTCAGAGTTGCCAGATGAAATAAAAAAAAATCGTGATATACGAGAAAGAAAAATCGTGAGAAATCGTGAGACTAAAAATTGCTTAATATTATAAGAAAATAAAGCACAACAGCACAACAATATTCTTTTTTATTACGCATGCATCATAATCAACGATTATCGCACGCTGCAGCGTGCATAAAATGATGTTTATGATGCGTCTACCTTTTCAAAGATTTGCTATAGAAACGTTCGATCTACCTTCATTACCTAGATATTTACCTGCATACCTGCCATTAAAATTACTACTGATCAAAATGAATGAACACTTTTAAAACATTTTTGGGATTAAGATGCATTCGTAATAAAAAATATAGCGTATGATATGCGTGTATAAGAGGGCATTTAAAGCCCTTGCGACTTACAAAACACTCCGCTGCGCGTCGTGTTTTGAAATATGTCGCGCGTGCTTTAAATGCCCTCTTATACACTTATATCATAATATACTATTATAGATTTTTGATAAAGTAATTATGATTTTAGATTTTACATCTATAAGAAATAAACATTTCTTTATTAAATCTTGTATCCTTGTTTTTTCTGTGTTTCAGCAGGTGGTTCTGAGAACAGGACCCGGATCACGAACCCACAATGCGATAGTATATAAATTATTACATAGACGATACTATCGAATCGTGGGCCCTGGGCCTAGTTTTCACTAAATTCACTATCTGCCCATCCTAATGAGGCGTACGTTCGCCAATTCTCGAGCCGGCAACAGGTCTGCGACTGACGTCACCACTATCAGCTGCAGATAGTGGTAACGTCACCCACAGACCCTAATGGATTGCTTGCGATTCAGGCTGTGCTTGTGAGTTAATTTTTTCGGCGATTTTAAATTTAGAAGAAGTGAATTTAACGTTTAGGAACTCGTTTTTTTACCTATAGTGTCTCGGATAATGCATTATACGCCATTATTTTCGATTAAACCTTATATTTAATTACTGATTTGTATTACTACAGAGAGAATTCGTAAGAATTGCTACCTCATTCGTGAGATCGTGAAATTCTTACCCGAATCGTGTAATCTTACGAATAATCGTGAGATCTGGCAACACTGCGAACTGCTACTACTGGGAGAAATTGAAATTTTCTTAATTGTAGTCTTTTTACATTTGTTTTTCCGCTCTCTCATTGCTGCCTCTTCTCCTATTTCAGTTTTCTCAGGGGTATCCGTAAGTATTCTACATCGGCCAAGTTTTCTTCCACCACGTTTGACTCTTTGATAGTTATTTCTGATGGACCCGTAACTGGTTGGCTATCTATAACTAAAGAAAACAGATAAAGGAAATGCTGATACCTACCAAATATTCATTAAAATATTACCAAAATTTGTTGCTGATTCGTTGTTTTCTGATAAATCTTTGGTAGCCAGTGGGGAATTTCTTGTCGCCTGTTCCAGTGGCCCATCCGTTACGAAGGAACTTAAAAATTCATGTTCTTCAAATATATTCCTATCAAGAGGAAAACTCCTGCTACCCTGAATCCAGATACGCACTAGTGCGTGAAGTGAATTTCTTTACGCGCTAGT